TTATCTCTTAATCATTTTCTTTTGGCTGTTTTCCAGCATATTCAGTTATTGTTTGGCTGTTTACCACATAATCTTCTAGTGTTTTGGCTGTTTTCCAGCATATTCAGTTATTGATTGGCTGATTCCCAGAATAATCCTCTATTTGTTTTGGCTGTTTTCCAGCATATTCAGTTATTGTTTGGCTGTTTACCAGCCATAATCTTCTAGTGTTTTGGCTGTTTTCCAGCATATTCAGTTATTGGTTGGCTGTTTCCAAGCATAGTCTTCTAGTATTTTGGCTGTTTCCCAGCATATTCCCATTATTTGTCTATTTTCAACATATTCATTTAACACATTTTTAGTTTTACAGTTTATCTCTGTATAATCCTCTATTTTATCATACCTTCCATCTAGATGTTAGTTCTATATATTTAATCTTATTATCATTTTCATCTTTGTTTACAATTCAACATTGAGGCTTAGTTCTTACATTAAACATCACCACATATAAATCGATAACATTTCTTGGATTTTTCTCATATTCATGTACAGTCCTATTCATTTATAAGAAACTCCTTTTTATCAATACATTTCATCTTTACTACATTTTTCTATTTTAATCACATTATTTTATTTTCCATCATTATATCTCTTTAGATACCTCCTTTTATAATTAATAATCATCTAAACAATACAATTCATTTATTAATCAAACTATTTTTATATTCATCTTTCCAGCCGTGTATATTTCTTCATTTCCTTGTCTAGCAATTTATAATCCATATCAAGTTCAATGTTCTCAAGATTGTTTCTTCATATATCAATTAAGTCTTATTATTTCCTGCAAAGTATATCGACTTTCCTTCTTTTGTTCCTGCGCCATTTGACTTCTTTTGTTCCTGCGCCAGTTAATCTCAATTATAAAAGTTCCATTGTATTTCCTCTTTCTTTCCACCAAATAAAAGCCATCTGTAGACAAAGAAAAAACCTCTTCCACCAACTTCTCACGACTAGTTATCAGTAATTTCATGCTTCTCCCAAACCAACGGAAATGTTTCTTTTTAAAATGGAAGGTGTTGCTCCTCAATTCACACTTTCCCTTAGTCACGCCAGTCTCCATTTTGTTGTGATTATATAATAGTCCAATTTAGCTCTTTTTTTCCTTTAGGTATTAAAAGTATTAAATCCCTTTTCTTTTTCCCCTTTTTTCCAAGTCCAATTCTAATTTAAAAGTTTTTTCCAGGCTTTTCAACCTGCCTCAATGTTTAATTGTTCCAATTAATTCGATACCATAGTAATTTTCCGTGCGGGTCTTCTCCTTCTAAAATCACTTTTCAAAATCTTCTAAGCCCCTCAAATCCACAGCCGCTGTTTAAGGCTAGGGGGTCTTACAAATATCAATTATTGCTCTAGCGTTGTTCCAAGCCTGGGTTGGTGTCACTCACTCGGCTTCAGAGAGCTTTGTTCTTTTTCACTTTCCTCCTGCACATCTCTTTTTTCGGTTTGTCCCAGCTTCGTGGCAGCCACTGCCGAAGAGGCTGCCACAAAGAGTCACAGAGGGTTCCCTCCGACCTCTGAGGAACTTGCCTGTTCCTCTCAGTCATCCAAGGTGTCCCTCTTCTTCCCCCATCTCTGCAAGATGGGTTCGGTCCGAAGACCCATTGGCGGCGGTTCGACAGCCGGGGGTTTTGCGGGACTCATCAGAGCCTGCTATTTCCTGACTGTCTCGCTGCGACGTCAAACCGGAAGTCTCAACAACTTATGATATTTAACAGTCATATATTTGTTATATACTTAGCAATCATTGTGACAGACTGTGTGGAGAAAACCTTTTTTTTTACGCCAGGAATATTTCAATATTAGATAATAAGTTGAATTAGAAAAAAACTTTGGTTACAAAGCAGAAGACAGTCCAAATTCTAGATTTTATATATATGCAATATAGTTGCATGCATGATTTATGCCTTTGGTACTATTTCTTCTGTAGGTTTGAAATAATGAGTAGTAATCTTCTAAATTATTTCAGTGCAAATCATTTCCTAACTTTTGAGCCTTCCTTTGGAGTCAATTGTGGTCCTAAATCGAGGACTACCTCTACCTATATTATCTTTTAAACTTGTATGAATAAGTCTTAATTAATCTGGCTATTTGATATTTCAGGAGTGATTCCAAATTTGAGGGCAAACCAATTCAGTTCAAATCCCTCCAGATTGTTACAACTTATTTTTAAAAAATGTTTTAAATTATCCATAGGTTATAACAGAAATTTGCAGATGTTTCATATTTTGACAAAAATCAGGTGAAAACAACAAAACAGTAGAAATTTGGTAGATCTTTCTAGGAACCTTAAAGCAAGTTCAACTGCCTATCTTCAATAGTTTCAGCATAATAAAATCTTGAAATACTCTTCTTGCACCTCTTTAAAAAGTAAAGAGGACCCTGCTATGGCTTGCTGATACACTGGACAGGTAGAATATTTAATGAAGTGATAAAAAATATTAGCTTGTCATGCATTGTACAGATTATCCTGTTCAACTCTCCACCCTGCTTCATATGTTCCTTGTAAAGACTTAGAGTTTTAATAGGTTGATTAAAGCAACTTCATGTAATGTGTGAAGCACTTTAAAAGGAATCTGATCCATTGTGATGAGTAAATAATACCTTTTAAGAACTACATGGAAATTTTGCCCAGGTAATCACACATACATGGAATTAAACAAAATTTGCTTTTTCTATTGAAAATATGACCTCAAACCATCTTGGCTAGTAATACCAACAAAATGGCGCCCCAAACCCCTTCTAGGCATAGATTACTGGCTATATTATTGCCTAACCACAATACATTTTCTGCTATTAGTAAGCAGAGTTCCAATGAATCAGTGACAAATTTTAACACACTGTAAGATTACACTTCCTGTTAATACCCAGATGTTATGCATGAAATGTCTATAACTGGTTAAAGTAATGTGAAGCTTGAAGGGTTGTCTTAACTGAAAAGATTATATTTTTCTAAATGGGCTAAACAAGTGGTATAAATAGCTGTGTGTGTGTGTGTGTTTACTTCATTAAAAGAGGATGTTTAAATATGACATGATGTATATTTTGCAGATCCACATACTGAAGTGATTTCTCTTCCCAATCTTTTTGCATGCTGAGATTCTTCCCTTTCTTGACTGTTCAGAAAACAATCTGTAATGAATCAGTCAGAAGTTCTGAACAGAGGAAGTCAGTGACAATTCCTGAATAGTAAACTTGCTACTGAATGACTGCATGACCATTCAGGAATACTCAAGATTCTGTTCACTTCAGATTTTAAAGCAAACCAAAACATAAAGAGGAACAATTTTCTGAATATGATATCAGAGTTAAAAAGTACCAAAATAAATATGAATTACATATTTTGGGAGGGATAAATGTTCAAATGTATTTTTTGAATTTTTATTATTTTTTATTTTAATTTTCATGAAGCTGGAGAAGGAGGAAGAGGAAGAGGAGTAGAAGACAAGATTTCAGCCGATTCAAATGTATAGATGAAACTGTACAATTTGACATAAATCTGAAAAAAACCCTATATATCCTTAATTCTGATAGATGGATGACTCTTTTAATAATTAAGGATTTGATATTCTTTGGGCATATATTTCATATGTGTTAGCTCTCATATCAAGGACTGCTATTGTCAGGCTTCTATCAAGGGCCACATTTCCTGATTCTAACTGTATCCTTCTAATCATGTGTCCATGTCCTTCCACACTGTTGAGAATATCGCACTCAAAAAGCAATGAAAATGATGTGGTATGATTTCTTAACACTATCGTAATAGAAAAGATATCTCAGATTTTCATACTGACCAATTTGGTATGGAAAACTATACATCTGTAGCCTGCATCCGTTATTACAAGCAAATCATGATATAGTCTTCAATGAAGTCTCTGAAATAATTATGCAAAGTTATCAGCCATAGTCAGTTATTCACCTTTTAATGGTTTAATAAATCAATTAAATTTTCCTATGCTTGCGTATGATAGAAGTCTTGAAAACTAAAAAAGCATTATTTTTAAGGTTGTTCATTAATCTATACTGAGATTTATATATGATAAATCTATGTTTTAGCATCTCTTGTCTTAAAAGATATATTTCCTTTTATGAAATAATAAAGAACAGAATGCAGAGAATGGTATACTCTTCTAAAATAAGCAATTTCTTATTCATGCAGTTTTGATAAATTACTTAAATGAATATTTTAAAATATGTTCCCCAATCAATTGGAATGCCTTTACGAAAAGTTTCTACTTAATCAGTATAAGATACAAAGCTGGAACTCTACTTTTGATTATACTTCTGAAATCCCAGTAAAGTTAGAATTTAACTTTTATAAATGAAAAATAATTATAGTACATGCTGCAATAATTTTAAACTATGCAAAGATCCATTTATGTTCTATGCTAGTAATAAAATGCTGAGAAAGACTTTGTTTTTTGCTAACCAAAAACCTGATAAAATGTTCAAACCTATTTTTATTTATTTATTAATTAAATTTATTTGCCATCCATCTCTACAAGTTGACTCTGGGTGGCTTACAAGGTTAATTTCAAAGATAAGGTTCTGTATCTATTTCAAGATATCAATATTAATATCAAAGATACATAGTATGATTTTACATTGGATTTGTGCTACATTAAAACAGTAAAGACAAATATTACTTAAGTGAAGGAAACATTAAATAGCCAAAAATAAAATAAAATAAGGTGTAATCAGTAAACTAATTTGGGACTCTGCTATTGCAACGCATCCCATGAAGCAGTTTAAAATGCATATAAAATGATAATGACTGCTTTCCAGTCTATTCAGACTACACAAAATTCATTCTAGAAGCCCTTTTGAACTGCTCCAAATGCTCTGATTCCATTTCACCATTCATCTCACTACCTGTGTGACTCAGATTTTGCACAGGATATTTTATTGTTTCATCTTGAATAATAATCTAGCCATTGAGGAAATATTTTCACCATTGTGTTTTGCTAACACCGGAATGAAAACTAGGGATTCATTGAAGATTTAGTGGAAGAGTTGAGTTCATATGCAGCGCCATTAAAAATTCCCTTTTTATGACTCTGTAATCCCATAGAATTTTGAAAAAACAGAAATCTTATATGTCTGTAGAGGTAGATCCCTTCAAACCTGGAACTGTGGAACCTCATATGAATGAGGTAGCATAATATCTCTTTTTAGTATATCGAATATTTTGCTTTACAGGGACACAAAAAGTTCTTTGCCACAGAAATGTTTGATGATTGGCAGGCAACTTTCGTAAATCATAGATCACCACAAACATCTTCACCACAATCTTTTTAGGATTAAATAAGATCCCTTGCATTGTCCCTCATTGTCCCTTTTACCAAGGGAGTCAAAAGCAATTACACCCATATAGGGAGAAGGTGCATTGTCCTCAGAAAGTTCAACAGGAAGAGTCATGTGAGTTGGATAAAAAAATCCACTTGTACCCACTTCAGCTGTGAAGCAGTCTACAATACCCAGTGGATCTAAACGATAGTTCAGTATATATTTTTTGTATGATTGATTTGCCACCATCCCCACTCTTCACTGAAATATAAACTGAAATATAATATTCAGTTATAAATATAACTGAAGAAGACAAGTGTTAATAAAAAGGAAATCTAAAATGTAGCCAGATTTACAAATTAATGGTCTGGTAGAGAATTGAGTCAAAATGTTAATTAGGCTGATTAATACAATGCAGTAAGACTTTAGCCCTAATCACATGCTTGAAATAAGGCAAATATATGGAAGAGAAGGGGGAGAAGATTTCTTATGGCCATGCCTAGGCACTGTGCATCTCCAGATATTTTGCTATCAGACCAACATATATACAAATGAGTGTAACTCCCTTGTCTTTGTTCAATGTCTCTACGCTAAAAGGCCCAGGCCAGTAAGCTATTAGATGTTAAATTGTGTGTCAATTTTTTTTTTTTTTTAAAAAAAAAAAAAAAAAAAAGGCTGAATTGATTTCAAACTATCTATAGCAATATTTTCTTTGACATCTTAATGATTGGAAAAATCAGCAGACAGACGCTCTGCCTTACATTTTAATCTTTTCCAGTGGTTTCTTCCATGTTTGCCTAATCATTTATTAATATTTCATTTGTACAATGGTAGACACTCACAAGGCTTTTGCTTAAAATGGCAGGCTTTCAGACAAGATCTCCCAGCCTAAATGTTGAGGCTATTCCTATATAAATAGCCAAAATAAACATCTGGATAGGCTTGTGAAGTTCTTCGGGAATTTTCATGTGACTATTTTTCATAAAGCTTCCAAGAGTAGGTGAAACTAAACTGATTGACTAGTGTAGCTTTTTAAAAAATGGAGAATTAAGTAGAAGTAGAGTTAAATGAGACTCTGAAGTTGAGTATGTTTATATTCCATAAAAGAAAAGAATTAAGTAACAAAGAGTAGACAAATAACATTAAGTTTTTCTGAAGATTTGTATCCTCATTTAGTACTGAAGACTATCTGTTCCTTAGGAGCATCCTGCTTTTGATTTTATTTTTAGTCTTCATATTACTGTATTGACAATATGATCTTCACTGCCGCCTTTTGTCTTTCATCTCTTTACTTATTTTCTTTTTATTCTTCTCATTTGGACCTTTTCATATTTTGAAACATCTCTCATCTTTCCTTCTCTTGTACTTTTTAATAAATTCCTTAATATTGGCCTGGTTCATACATCCTGCTAAGCTATTATGTACTTTGGCTTAGCATATTGTGTGAAATCAAATATTGTGGTTTATAACTTAGTCCATTGTAAATCTAGCCAAATAGGATGATTCAACAATAATTATACAAAAGATGGTTTAATATAGTGTATGAACCATTGCACTGCTTGTTACCTGTATAACAATAATTTCAATAATTTCTTAAATCTGCCATTTTTTTCAGAATTATGTCATAACATTTTTGCTGAGCTTCTATTATTGTGGTTTTATCTAACAATACTGAAAAAATGTGACCTTTTTACTTGCCTAAGTTTCCTGTTCTGAAATCAAATGTGCCTCTGTTACGCTTTCATAGCAATTTTTCATCTATATACAAATTAAATTGGAGAGTGTTGCTCAAGAAGACAAATATTCTGAACTATATTTTGGGCATTTCTTATGATTAACTGGTTGTATGACTGCTGGGATAAAGAAATAAATTGAGTAAGGGCTAATCATCTGATTTTTAAAATATGAAGACCAGCTGAATATATATGTTAAAAAGCCAGCAATTATTATGCAGTATGCATCTGATTTTAAGAAGAACTATATTTTATGAGCAAAAGTACAGAAAAATTGTAACAGCATTATGAAAGTAAAATATGAGGTGAAGCATTAGACCGGGGTGTCAGACTGGATTTCTTCGAGTGCCAGATCAGCATTGTAGTTCTCCGTGGGATGGCTGGAGGGTGGGGGAGCGGGATGGATGCCTCCTGCAGCACCCTGCAGCCAAAACGGGGCATGGGGGGTCTGTAGGTGTCCCCCGTGCCTCGTTTTTACCCTCTATGGCCCATTTTCGGGTCCGTTTTCAGGCTGTTTTCAGCTGGCAGAGTGCTGCAGGAGCCCATGGAGGGTGAAAACGAGGCACAGGGGGCCTATACACAGCCTGTTTTAGCCGCCAGAGGCACCACAGGCTGCTCCTTTGATATTTCGGGCCGGCCCTGCAGGCTGGATTTAAGTACCCGATGGTCTGGATCTGGCCCGCAGGTGTTGAGTTTGACACCCCTGCATTAGACGAAATGTCATTAGAAGTCAAGCTGAGCAAATACATAAAGTTTATATTTCAAAATTGATCTTGTAAATGGCTACTTTCTGCCTTTTCCAAAGTACCACCCCCCCAAAAAAAAAAAAAAAAAAAAAAAAAAGGGAGGTGGAATTAATCTTGATCCATTATAAAATATTCAAATTAGGATGATGCCTTTATTTGGCACTTAATTTAATTATAAATTAAACAGATATAAACTATATGAAAAGTATATGTTTCAGAGGAGTAACCAATAGTCCACAGTTTCTCTTCTATCTTCTGGTAATAGTCAAGTTAAAAAGACAATGGTCCAAAGGCTAAATGACATTAAATATCAAACTGAAGTTGGTATCTTTTCTCAGAAAAATGAACTTTGATAGTAAAGAACTCCAGTTGACCTACAAGTTACCTACTCACATTGACTTTCTTCTGGCTGAAAAATAAATGTTTTAAGGGGAAGCACAAAGACAAAGTGCTACACCTGGTGTTAGGGCAGGCCAGATTTGCCATGTGATTCTGGGAAATCCAAACAATCCATCATATATTCTATAAGGACTTTTGTAATTTCTATAATGAACCTCCACGAGAACCTCATATTATCGTTGCTACAGCCTTTCCAGGAAAGACAGATGGATATAATGCTAACCTTCTTTCAGATTCTAACCATGTTCTGATCAGTATAGGTGGTCATGGTGAAAACAAGGAAACAACTGAAGTCAACGTGACCAGTTCTACAGCCCAAATGTCATGTCATTTATTGTTTTAGGTATAGATGACATTTGATTGTAAGACTTGTTCATAGAACTGATGTTTGGGAGGTTCAAAAAGTGAGTTCCACATATACAAAATCATCTTGAATTACAAAAAAAAGATAGGATATAATATAATAATAACAATTTTAATGTAAATTTCTAATAATTTTTTGTGTATTTTTAAAGCTGAATGCAACATATTAATTCTTAATAAAAAATGCATAAAAGCCACAGAAGATCAGGAGAAAATTTTATTTTCCTGATGCCTTTCTTCAGATTTCAAACCTGTTAATTCAGGCCCTTTCAATTGTTAAAAATGGTTTAATTAATCCCTGAAATAAAAATATTTTTAAACATTCAATCTGAAAGTTCATTTCAACTGAAAACAGCTTTCTTTCTTAATTTTTTTACTGATTAAATTTCAAGACAGCTTTCATATAGTCAAAAGTTGCAGACCACCCTGGTGAATTGCAGCTGATTGATGCAGGATTGCAGGGTGTTTCTGCTGGCATCAGGGCTGTAATGGATCAGTATAATTCGGCTTTTATCTAACATGAAAACCCTCTATGAGAATACTGTGTGGTCCACTATGAGTGTTTTATGGATCTAAAAATAGTATTGGGGAAAACTTCACCACCTGTGAAGAATGCAAAATTTCTGGAAGCCAATCCACCTTCACAAAACTAGATAGATCTAAATTCTAATTCTGTCTTAAAGAAGTTCAGATCATTCTCATTGCTATTCTAAAAAGCCTTTCCATAAAGTAACTTAGAATCCACCACTTCAGGACATAAAACCTCTAATATGAGATGCCACATTTTCTTTCATCCTAATCTCTTGGTGCTTTGCCAGCATCATTACATAGCATTAGTGCCTCATTATATATTATAAACTAGAAAGGTTTTCTGGTAGCAGGTTGTTCAAGACATAAGTAATGAAATTTCAAATCCTAGAATCCCCCATAAAACATTATTGATGAGTTTTTTGGATGCATACACATTGGTAATATACATTGGTAATATAGGCATACATGCACTTTGATTTGTTCCAAATAATCTAGATCAGAGATGTCAAACTTGCAGCCCGCAAGCCGGATCTGTCACATGCTGACCACGCCCACCTTGGTTTAGCGAAGGGGGAAAAAGTCACAATACATCATGTGATGACGTGAAGACATGAGTTTGACACCCCTGAGCTAGATACTTTAGACATATAGACTTTATCAACATATAGTAATCAGGACAAGAATTAATTTCTTTTTAACAAGCCAGATAAAACCTTTTTTCCCCGACAATGTGCTATTGACACCAGGTAAATATAACTACAGTACAGACCAAAGCAATTCTAATGCAAAATGTCTAGAAAAATAGATTTTATCTTAGAGCAGTTCTTGAGATGAATATCAATCCTTAAAACGTTTAAGTATCATTCATCCTTTAAAAAATATTGAATTGCATTTATTTTAATGTTTCCAAACACTTTACAGATAAATTTCTTTATATCTTCCTACAAGCAAGCATTTACTGAAGCAAGATTATGAGTCACACAGCCCATTTATGACGTATTAGAAAGAGATTGTATGATTTGTACTCAGGATTTCTAGGGAAGCCCACAATTTAAGGGTAAACAGTATACCTCACAAAAAAACAGGATGGAGAATTTACAATTTCTCAACACTCTATTTATGCCATTTAGAATCCTTCCTCCCTAACCTAGAGAAATTCATTTCTTTTCATTATCTACCAATCTTTAAATACATGGGAGTTTACAATATATAGAAAACCGCATCTCCCCAAACCACACAAACCTTGACTTAAGAGGAGTTCCCCCATAATTTATACTTCAAGCTTCTTGTGGAAAAGTTCTATTACATTATAAAGGAAGGCACCAACTGAACTTCTAGAAGCAAGATGTTTCATAGGAGGAACGCAGCACGAGAGAACAATGTGCTCTCACTTCCCTCTTCAGCTCTTTTTTGTGGAAAAATGTATTTTTGGGCTGAATATACCAGGTGGATCATTTGTTCCTGAAGCAAGTAGTCC